GTATTTTAAGCAGATATAAATGTATGCTTTGTTGGTTATCTTTAAATAAATAAATATATTCAATCAAGGATAATTTTAGAGGAACATTTTATCTCGTTACTAAGTTCTAAAAACTGTTATTCCACTAAAAAATCTACTTCAATCGTGAGAACATTAGTACGGAACCAGCATGGGAGTGAAAAAGGAATTATAAAAGTAATTATCAAAATCTATTTAAAATCGGTGAAGCGAACGAATACATATAAAAAACAACCAGTTAAATTGAGAATCTTCCGTTTTAAAGTTAAGTCAAATGAAATCTCATTCTTCGACCTTTCATATGTTATAGTAAATTCTTGGTATTCACCGATCGCTAATTCGGCATATCAAAGCGCGTAACATCACACAAGTGGCCGCAGCCGTCCGGCGCGCTGTCACCGCGCGGTGATTAGCGCGCGACTCACGCGCCGCCTAAACTACGACACGTGCTGCGCCTGCGCAGGCCGCGAGCACCCTGCCGCTTATATAGGCTGTTGTATAATAAAAAAAATACTATAAATCCTTACTAATATTATAAATTTGAAAGTGAGTTTATTTGTTCAGTACCTCATGTTACCTCTTGGCAAGCTAATATATTAGAATTCTACTTTTGAGACTTCATAAGCATGACCGAGATAATAATATCTCGTATAAACATTGATAATCCTTAATAAAAAGTATTCTATGTACTTTTTCATTTCAAATACTAGGTGTATACCAAATTACGTGATGATTAGTTGAACCGTTAAGGCACCAAGAAGTAATAAACAAACAGACAAACTCATTTTAACAATCATAAAAGTTTAGATAGTAATAATAGTAATAAGATTAACAGTTCAGAATTAGTAACGTACCTAATAGCATAATATGGTCACAATAAAAAAAAAACAGAAAACTAACTAAATTAAAATAAGAACATTACTTACAGATTGGTCTTGTAGAGATTTTATCAAAACAGGTTCAATAATTAATTTTTAATCATCAAAATAACTGGTTTTACCATAATTTAAGTCAGTTTTTGTAGAACACAATTTCAATTATTATTATGTAATAATTAACTTAGAACTTAAAAAAAAACATCCTGTAGCTATCTGTATCGACAATGACGACGTATTTAATAGTAAACAGCAGGGAGGTCCCCTTAAAGACACCGGCATGACTCCCAAAAATCACGTAGCCACCACCCCAATGTAAACAATGGACAAAGACACCGCCCGTCATTAGGCTAGCTGATGACAATCGTACCGGGAAGCTAGGTTATATGGGACAGTTTTGGCTAAATACGTCGTAGAGATTGTATCACACTCGGACTACGGCGTCTGGGGTTTGACTGGGACTTATGACTTCTTTTTAAAAAGTACAAAGGATGAAAGATGTAAATTTGATGATTTTACAATATTGCAATGGCTTTACATACATCCCATTTTCAACGTCACTTTATAAAATGTGAAATTTTGAAAAAAGGAATGTTGCCTTGGTTTGGTCATTTGGAGAGGATGGATGAAAGAAGAATTACGAAAGAGATTTATCGAGTAAGAATGAATGGAGACGTCGGTAGGGGCCACCCTAGATGGACGTATGTTGACCAAATAGGCGACGTGCTGAATAAGGGCCTAATTAAAAGTACCCGTAACCGGTGAGCGTGTATGAAAAGATTGATGAATGTGGAAGAAGCGAAAGAGGTTTGTTTGAATCGAAGCATTTGGCGTTCCATTGTTTCTGCCTACCCTAATGGGAGACAGGCGTGACAGATATGTATGTATGAAATTTTGTGAAAATACGTTCAGATATTTAATCTTACAGAATACATACAAATATATTTCTATTTAAAAGTTTTTAAAGTATAATTTTTATAGTTTTTTTTTCTTACAATACGAAGGGCAATCGAGCGTGAATCTTACCTGATGGTATGTGCCTACTAAGGGTGAATAATATATAGCAATACCTATATATTATATTTACAATATACATACATACATACATATCTGTCACGCCTGTCTCCTATTAGGGTAGGCAAAAACAATGGAACGCCTAATGCTTCTTATATTGGTCTAGAAATAGATATATTAACTATCGGTTAACCAATATATAAAATCGAAAAGAAGAACCCGCTCGTAATGAATATAGAAATCAAACTAGTATAGACCCTAGAAAATCCCATTGCTAGCAATATATAGCAAGCATATGTGCTTCAAGGTAAAACCACAAATAATTATTTTATTTAATAATTACTTCATTAATAAACGGGGTTCTCGTATATTCGAATGAATATTTATAAATAAAATAATATAATACTAAAATAGGTAAAATAAAAATACACGTAGATTAAATAGGTGTATACTGTAATTTAAAAAATTAAATTAAAATAAGTAAATTAGGTACGTGCATTAAATGTACTTTTTAAAAATACTATTCTCTAATATTATTTGTATTTTAATTAAGGATACAAAACCTAAATGTATAAGTGTAAAAAACATAAACTAAGAAATTAAAAATGGAATTACATTTTCCATTTAAAAAATTAATAGTATATGTAGATGTTCAGGTCACTGTCTTTTACTGCGTAACGTGATAAAAAAATATTTAAATTTATAATTTAAATATGGGATTACAAATTCCATATTTAAAAAATATCGATCGTTAAATATAAAATATGTTCCCACATTAACAATGTAGATGGCCAGATTGCTGTGTTTATCTGCGTAACACAGGAGGCAGCCGCGGGCGACGTTTCAAAGTAAAATTTTAACCCCGTGTCTTACACGGTCGACTCGTGTGAAGATTAACTGTTTTGATTACACCACGGTTACCAGTGAGATAGCATTTTAAATACAAAAAAATCAATGAAATGCGTAACTTTTACCAAATTTTCTTATTTATATTACAATATATAACATACGTAGCTTAGACAAATCAACTCTCTTAATAATAATAGACGAAAATCAGCGACAAAAAAAGCATGTTTATTGAATATTACTCTTCTTATTTAATTATCAGCTTTTTCCTGCAACTTTCTACACCTAGATTTTAGAAGACGGCGTATCGAGATGAATCACATTTTACTACAATACACCACATTTTAAGTTAAATCTCCAGAAACACAACTGTGAAACAGCATCCAATTTGATGTAGTTGAGATTCGAAAAATATTGAAGTTTAAATATCTCTTAATGTTTCATATTCGCATCCCCCCCCCCCCTGTCTGTCTGTATAGATAAACAGAAACAAGTTCTAAAACCTATTGTTTTGACATCTTTCCTTTTATTTAGATCTTACATATTATTTTTTTCTAAAATATCTCTCATGTGAATACAGACATCTAGCTATAATTTTATTTTATTATTATTTATTGCTAATACTAGTAAGAGAAGAAGTACATTATTATATTCAGTATCAGAAGGTTACATACATGCATAAAATACACAAATGTTAACCATATACACATGAATATCTACATGCTTCTCCTATGGGGAGAAGCATGTAGATATTCATATGTATAAGAGAAGGACATAATGTAAGGACATAAAGGAACATAAGAGAAGGAATATATCTTACTATTACTAGGCTATCTGTACAGTTGTAGTACTAATTACCCAATTATGAAATTAGCACAAGTTTAAAAATTTACCGATATTAGAATAAGAATGTAGAAATTAGAATATTAGATAGTAGATATACCCAAAAATTAATAGATTCCAGCGGTTTTAAGTTCCAAATATTATTATAAACCTTACTCTTTAAAAATTCCAAAATCTAACGAATTGTACATATATTTCTTTTCGTATTATTATTACTATTTCATTTTTTTGCAAAATATACCTATTCTAACTATATATTCATATAAAGAATAAATACAATAATTCTTATCTCTACAATTGGCATCTTTTTAATGTGGTATTCAAGTAATGAGAATAAATATTTCTTGCCAAAAAAATATGACTCGAAAAACGATAAAAAAATCTTAGCCTCTCATACTAATATTATAGTCAAACGTGCCGTGTTTTAGGGAAAAAACCGAGCTCTTTTTTTTCAATTTATAATATACATAAACTTATATTTTTTTAGAAAAGCGTTCCGTTTCACTGATAAAATATACCCCCCAAAGATCCCTAAAGATTTGGTGCAATAATGTTTGCGTGATACCGGAATAAACATATAGACAAACAGACGGAATTTGTAAAGAATGTTTTTTAGTTTCTATTGTTCTTATTAAGCAAATTTGTACATATGTACAGTATTACTATATTATTGTATTTTTTATAAGTCACAAATGTGCTACCACTCACCTCTACTCGTAATATGTCATAAGTCGCAACTAAGGAACAAAGCGTTATTCTGCCTTTTTTCTTTCTTTCTAAGTAAACTTGAAATAAAACTCTATATCCGTATAATCCTTCTTTTAAGAAAGGACCTATTCCCAATAGTGGGGCATTAATAGTTTAGATAAAAATAACTACGTAGATAAATTGTGTACAAAAAAAACAGCACAGAGTAATTAATTATTTTCATCAGCTATAAACAACCAGTTTTATTGGTCAATTTAAAATGGCATGTGATGTAAAAACGCATCTCTTGATCTTAAAGCTGTCATTAAATACTAATTAACATTATCACCTGTATCTAGACGCAAGACCCTCCTATACGGCAAATCGCCGTACTCAACATATTGCGCCAATATCAATAACTGTCAATGCGTCCAGTCATTATACTTTTGTCTCGTTTACGCATCGCTATAATTACTTGGTCATTACCTACATCTCTTTCGAACTCATTAATCTGTTGCAACGAGAGCAACAAACCGCTCATTCCGTTTCATTCCCTCCAACCAACAAGTCAAACTCGAGGAAAAACGTGGTAATGAAACATCTACCCGTCTCGTTCTCACCCATGCTCATTGCAACCGATAGAGCTGTATAAAAACATTTATTTTTATTTTTCCAAAGTGACATCCACTTTCCTGAAATGTCTAATCGAAATTCGAAGGCATATTTGAAATGGGAACTGTCCCCGCCAAAATAAGGGACTCGTTAGAAGCGCAGGCGCATGGTTTTCAACAAAAAAGAAAATAAGGCTCACGAGAAAGAGAGGTTTAGTGTAGGCTTTTTATAGTCGTTGTCCCGATGCGCTGGCGCACGGAAGTATCGAGCTTCAGGATCGGGCCTTAATCTCATTCTAATAAAAAGCTCACGCATAAATTGACGTGCTGTCATTAGGTTTTTAAAATAGTTTTTTTTTCTAATGTCGATGTGTAAACTTGCTGTGAGGTTCTGTAGATGTTAAATTATGTCCGACACGTGCGGTTTATGGTTATTTTTATGGTCGCATTATGACATTATATTTGTGATGTTTTGTGAAAAGGGTTGTTTTTATTATTGAGCAATCATTAGGACTTCATACCTCGGACTGTGTGGTCGTGTTTATTTATCAGTTAATTAGCATCTCTTTTATTAAGGTTATAATGGATTAATTTGTGGTTGAGTGAAGTTCTTTTTTTAACTGTGGAAATTAATTTAAATATTATATCAAAATGTTCTTGAGGTAAGTTTTTAAATTTCTATACTTTTTTTCTTTTTTTTTTTGATATTATAATTATTATAATTATTCTGACATATTTTATGTCAATAAAAAATATGGAAATTTATTTTATTCATAACTTTCCTTCAAATTACAATAAAAATAGAAATGAAATATGTATTTAAACGAAACATATTTAGAATTTTTAATAAGTTTATTTGATTTGACGAAAATTTTTAATCCTAAAGTACATTATAAATCTAGTTACATGAAACTAGTTTCAAAACTTTTAATTAGATCGTGCGTTTCAAGTATAAATCTCCAATTTCAAAGGACATATTTAAAAAAACTAATAAAAAAATAAAAGGTTCTATAAAAAATTTTCACGTTCTAGACTTGTGAATTTTATATAGTTATTTTTATTTTATTACTGCATTAAATTAGTTTCCTTATGGCTGAATAAACAGTAAAAAAACATAATAAATTTTACAATTTTTTTAAGAAGTCTTGTAAAATATCTTCAGTATTTCTTTAGTCTTTATAATTTAAAACTTATTATTAAAAATATAAATATTTAAATCTATTCTGATCAATCCATACTAAAATGTATTCGATACAAATTTATAACCAACCTTCTTGTTTAGTACAATTACCTAACAATTCTTTAAATACAATGCACTAAAATTTAATCCAAAATAAATTAAGCACTAGTAATTAAACAGAATAACTTTCTCCAATATGCATATTTTGAGTTGAAACAACATTATTCAAGTATTTCATACTAAACCCATCACATTGCCATCCTTCAATATTCTTTTTGTACTTACGCTATGCTAGTAGGTACATATCTACTATCATTGGATTTTAAATTGATATAAATATCATACAAAATACACTAGCTTTTTGCCCACTGCTTCGTCGTACACATCGCTTCCAGAATTAGAAAAGTCAATAAAATAGAACACTTCTGGGTATCAGAATAAAAGATATACCTATCTTAGACGGATAGACCAAATTTCTAAAAATTATTGTTTTAGCATCAATTAGTTCTATAATACCTAAATTATTATTTTCTTTATAGCTATTAGTAAGATTTTTCACTACATATATATGTATCGATGCCAGTCAAATACATCGATAACTATCCCTGTTCTTGTTTTAATTAGACAGAAATAAAATATGCCATAAATTCTAGTCCAGTTGATTTGAAAATTAAATAGTAATGTATACGTACAGCTAGTATAGTCTCGGAGAAAAATTAAAAAAAAAAGTAAAAATACCAAACTGATTGAAAAATTAGAAACTTAAAGTTTATCATTTTTTAAACTGCTAATTTCGTGAAATAATTAGCTACTTGTCTTATAATAGTAAAAAAATATTACTAATAAAGAAAATAACATGTAGGTAAAACTACGATAATACTAAGAAATAAAATGACTTACTAATCGCTAGTCTTGTGACACAATAAAAAAACTACTAATAAAAAATATAACATCTTAAACACGAAAAATCAATTATCATTGACAATTGGCAAATACAAATAAAAGGAAAAACATTTATATGCCATGAACATAAGGCTCAATATGCAATGTAAACAAATTATTTAATTAGTCGAACGTGTAAATCTGTTAGCGGGTGCCACTGAAACCAAGTTTCATTGTTACTGAAGTGCTAAATAAAGTACGACCGTGCCTTTACAAACCTACACATGAGTTTTACTACTCTCGTAGAATATTTCTCAAGCGATTGTATACTATTGTACTCTGTCATAGAGTATATATTGATATTATCTCATCACGGGCCTATGTCAATATCTGTTCCAATATGTTCAGTTGTTAAGTAACGTCAGTATCAAACATAACCTTGTATGGAAATAAATTTATTTCACATCTAACTATACGTAATACTCAAATATGGTGACGTCGTAACGATGTTTTTTTTTAAATATATTTGCCTTTTTTTACTAAGACAGTTGATGTAACAGACTTTGTTCTGTCAGAAATATTCGAATTGACAACTAAGAGTCATCGCAATATAATTGTTTTCTCAGACTTTGTGACAGAACTGACTGAAATACGATAACCAGTAAATATGCTTACTACTCCTGTAACTACTCGTAGGAGTGTGGCGACCTCTGGTATCATGAATTTCTAATTTAAACCGCCTAATTTAAACTAATATCCAATCTTGGGGCCATCGGTCCATAGACAAGCGTTCTTCAACTAAGCACATCACTGTGTTGATCACGGTTAAACCGTATATATATATATATATATATATATATATATATATATATATATATATATATATATATATATATATATATATATATATATATATATATATATATATATCTCTCCTTTAAAAGATTACATATAAGTAATATTAATAAGAATACTTCCCCTAAGTATTCCTAACTCTACCAATCCAGAATACTTTTTGAGACGGTGGATATAGTTGCAATGTTTCCCTTTTTAATCGACTTCAAAAAAAGGATATTCTCAATTCGGTTCTATTTTTTTTTTTACGTTGTAAATCTATTTTTATGTAAAAGGATATACTTACATATTGGTTCCATAAAAATTTCTTTTAAATTGATTTAATAGTTTAGTTTTAAATCAAAATAACTTGTTTTACCACAATTAAATTAGATTTTATTTATGGAATACATTTTTAATAATAATAATTAATCCTGCTACCTATATACTGTACTTTAATAAGTAAGTAAGTTTTATAAATATTTAAATTAACCCTGTTCGCCGCACCATAACTATTAAATTTCTTGCTTTGATTTCCACGAGAAAGGTTTTGTCTAGTATGAGGTCAAAGCTCTTTTATAACATAGACTAATTTTGTTTAAGGAAATAAAGTTATTCTTATTCTTTTAAAATATGTTTAAATATTGGTCACTCATCACGAAAACGGATTGAGAAATATTAATGTTTTATACACAAATAGACTATATAGCTGGAATATAAGCTTTTTGTCCTAATTTAAGCAAAACCGCAGGTCGCAGACGGTCAAATTTACCCACGAAATAGCTACATTGAATGAATATTGTCTGAACTGTCATTCATATAGATCTACTACATCACTAATGTATTCGAGAGGAATTTACACGGTTACGTATTCGAATGTACCGTGAAATCACTTCACGGCCCGTATGTATGGAATGCGTTTTTGTGGCCGATAATGAACGAGTAAACGATTACCTATCGCACCGATACATTCTCGATTCGATTGTAAAAAATACAAATAATCGATATTAACCGATGACATTTTCCTTGGTCAAGCCTGAAAAAGATTATTGCAATTTCCTGAAGATAACAGAAATAGAAATAAATCGTTTCTTATGAAATATTGCGCTTCGTAAAAAACTCATTCTGAATTATATTGAGGGGTTTTAATGCAATGTTTATTATGTTTGACGATTATAAAAGAGTTTAGTATTAAAAATACAGATGTAAGCAATAATGTAATCAAATTTTATTGTGTGATTCATTCAGAACGTTTCCGTAGAAAAATTGAGTTTTTAATTTCGATTTTACATTTTAAAAATAAATTATTACGTACTTAAATAAATGTAGTGCTTCTAGATAACCTAGTTCTATTTCTAATTCTCAATTCTAGTGTGTATAAAACTTTTTAACTTTTTTTATATTGGATGTATTGGACTTAATATCATATAGTATATTCAACGGGCCTACCATGAAATATTTTCCGAAATTTCAAGGTCAAACTAATTTAATGTTAAAATTACATATAATGTTTAAAAAATGTTAAAATATCGTTCCTTTGGACTATTGTGATAGTAATTATGACGAACGAAATGTTAAACTGTAAGCCTTTACTAAGCAAAAATACGAAATTGAGCCACAATATTCGAAATTCCATTTCATGGTACACCACCTGGGTTCAGTCTTTAAGTACACGAAAATAAATATTCTAAATATTTCAAATAGGACAATAATCCCTTGGTAGATAGCCATATAATCGTAACAAGCAAACAGAAAGTCTGACTTTCCAGATTACAATAATATTTTGTTAATAAAAAGACAGAATCTGCTTTGATTTTGCTTGTTTTATGTAATTAACTGTCCATCTTACTACAAAAGCGTGTTCCATAACATATTTAAGTTTATATTACAGAGGCGTCCTGGCCCTTTAAAAAAGACGAATATGTATTCTCAAACACGTTTTTCCTATAACTGAAAGCTCCTCTCCATATTCTGGGGTGGGACATTATACTTAGTCCCCCTCTAAATAAGTCTATGTCTAAACAAAAGACAATGTATATTATTAAAAATAAATTTTTGAATATATTTATAAATTTTGATACATAAATTTACAACTAAACATATATAACATTGACTAAATAATATATCGCTCAGACAGAGTTTTTTGAAACACTATTTAGATAAACATGTTATGTTATTATTTTCATGTTTGTTACTCAACACGTAAACAGCTTACACGAGATTAAATTACACGAACTAAGCACGCGGGATAAAGTAAAAGCACCATAATCCTTTTTACATGTGATGACTACATTTTGTATGTTCGTATAATAAATATGGATAAGGAAACATACATTTTATACTCGATTATAACTAAAGTACACATTCATTGGTTGAAAATAACATTTGTAATCAATTTGCAACATGCATATTTATTTATTCTACACCAATTTACATGTTATGGTGAATGGATGATATTTAATCGTTCTGTGGACAGATAGATATATCCTAAATAGATAAACACTTTGGGTAATCTATGACACACGTAAGCTTATAAAATTCTTACAACTAAATAAATGAATAGATACGACTCGTGTGGCTAGTTCGGCCGCAGTAACTGCGGCTAGAATCAAACACTCAAAGTATAAGATTCTCGACCCAGCGGGTCTACCATGAAATGAAATTCCAAAGTTTCGGACTCAATTTCGTGTTTTTGTTCACACCTAAATCGGGCCAGTAAATGGAGCTTAACACTTCGTTCGTCATACATCCTACCATAAAAGTCCCAAGGAATAATATTTTCATATTTTTAATGTTTTTAAACGGTAAGTATTATCTCATTTTAACATCAAATTTGTGTTTCGTTCGGCTCCGACATTTCGGAAAACATTTCATGGTAGACCCTCAGCTTACATCTTCGTTCCCGTTGCTTTTGAGACTACTGGCGTGTGGGGAGCGGAAGCAAAATCCTTCATAAAAGAGTTGAGTCTGCGCATTGCGGATAGGGGCCATGATCGCCGTTCTGGTTCGTATCTGGCTCATAGAATATCTCTGGCAATCCAACGCGGAAATGCCGCAAGTGTCATGGGTACCTTTGGGTCGGGTCACGAACGGGACTCATTGTTGAATTTCTTTTTTGAAAAAAAGAAAAAAAAATGAATTACATAATTAAAAGACAAAACACAAAAAATAAAAAAAAAAATAATATGTTTTCGCCATGTGTCGCAGTGATACAAATAGGATACAGCTGAGTGATAGTATTGCTTAAAAGCAAAGCACTGATTTTTAACTACAAAGTTAGGTTACATGGACGCGAGCAACGTACTATATGTTGCTCTCTCTATGCTGCTATATATAACACCTTGTAGTCTATGCTATCACCAATATAAATTAGTCCTTTAGATATCTTGTAAATGCCTCATATTGAATGATTAACTTTGCTGCAGTGTACTCCAAATGACGATAATGCAGATAGTTTTTTATTATATAATAACTGTAGCATTTCGTTTATAAAACCGTGTATTGCACGATTCTGTTTTTGAATCATTATTTAAAACATTTGTTTTGACTTGCATACAAATATATTATGATTGAAGACGTTTTAGTTATTTTTAGAAAATCACTGTCAACATAATGCCACAATTAAGCAAAACATGTAGAGATGGGATTTGAGTCTTTATATTAAACATAACATTCAAATAAATAAATTTAAAAATAAGCTAATCTTAAAAAAATTAGTGCCAAAGGAATCCATACAAGAGATCTATCTCTTGTTATATTCACTTATAACTTTTTATGCAGCCCATCATTGTTGACAATGATATAAGCGAGTGCACTGTTCCATTATCACCTATAACAAAAAATCTTAGGCATTCAGTTTACAGCCAATTTTCAATTCACATATTGGCTCAAAGTTTCTTGATTATCCCTTCACTTGATTTATAATTTATATTATTCCAAAACTATAGAGTAGTGATTTCGTCTATTTATTTTTATTCTCTTACAGAACACTTTTTTTAAATTCTGTCTTATATATATTCTCTACTACTCACGTACTCCGAATATTATATATTTAGTGTATAAACAACAAACGAAACGTAGATAAAATAAAAAAAAAACAATATATATTAATAAGCAAACAACAAATCATTTTAAACTCAATCAAATTAATAATAAAACGACAGGGCACCAATCATTGTTCCCACAATAATACTTAACGACCAAAAAACAACTAATCACACGGACAAATAAAAATAAAGGCACAAAAGACTCCCAGGGGAGATGAAAGCGCCGCGCAAACGATCGTCGGGTGCGCGGGCGCATGTTAAACATCAAACGGAAAGCTACTTCCTCGGTATACCTGTTAATGATGAATTAATTTACGAATTTCGGTGATTTTTATATGGATATTATTATGAGTCGCACGTGCGGGATTGTATTTTCGTCCGGACCGCTTGAATAACCTGCAGCATCTTACCTTAATTTTAAGAACCTTTTAAAGAAGAGAACATTGTGGCTAATGCTGAGCATAAATTTATACAACACATACAACTGTATATAAAAAAATATACATTAAAAAGTAAATTACATTGATGGTGTTAATTAAACTTATAATAAATGTAGTTGTATAATTTTATTAATTTTCTTCAAAAAAGAAGGAATTTCTCAGTTCAGATGTATTTTTTAATGTTTGTTACCTCGTAACTCCATCAGTTCTAAACCGATTAGGAAAATTATTTTATTATTGAAAGGATACGTATACTCACAAATTGATATCATAGAAATTTTATCAAAATCGGTTCAGTAGCTTAGTTTTTAAATCAAAATAACAGATTTTACTACAATTGAAATTACAATTTTTTAACGAAACAATCTTTTGTATATAATACTTTATTGTTACTAGGCAGTAAATTATGCTATAACCAAAAATACTGTAAGATGAAATTTGTCAAGTATTATTTAACACATAATTATTTACACTATTATCTAAGTTTACTTAACATAAATTTGTAATAGTATAGTACAATTTTTTTTTTTACGGTTAGATCCTACAAAAACTAAATATTTTATTCAAATAACAGTTTATTAACAACAAATCAATGCATCCTGCGACCGACAGATTTACTATTATAATGGCGGATCCGCGCCTTATGTTAATTCTTGGCTTGTCACAAAAGTTGCGCCCGCGCACCTGCCCACCTGTCCGGAACACTGTATCCGCGCATTGTCTACAAATCCTAGAAAAATGTTCACATACCTTTACCATACCATAACAATATTGTTTTTATTGAGACTTAATTTAATGGTAACCTCGCCTGCACTATTGGTGTACGCTGGCAGGGCACAAGTTAGTGGTGATGGGTGAAAATGAACTCAGATCAGTTCACTTAATCACGATAATTTCCAAAGGACCCGCGAGGAGTCTACCTGACCTCATGATTTGAATAAATGTAACCTATTATACTGTCAACGAAGCTCCTGAAAACCATATCCTACATAGGGGGCACCGTGTGAAGGTTGAACTAACAGAGTATATTGCTAACAATGGGACAATTAAAAGCCTATATTAAAATCTCTTTCTCCCATAACAACATATTATCGTCCCACTATTAAACATGTCTTTTTTAATTAAATTCAACTTGCCGTTCCTTAGTCGTCTTTTACAATATTCTGAAGATGAAAAAATTTCGGCACCTTATATAATATCTCTATTCAGTGGTCCCGGCATAGAATAGCCCATCTCTTCCTTTCCCGCGGGTCTTGTTTTTTTTTTATACAACTTAGAATGGCAAACTAGCTAACGGCCCACCTGATGAAAAGTAGAAAAAGCTGTATATAAAAAAAAAAGAAAAAACACTACTTACGTATATATTTCTTATATTAATGGTTAAACTAAGAAGAGCTAACAAACACACAAACTTACTTTTGCAATCATAATATTAATGAAGATTACTAAATTGAACAGAATTAAATGTTTATAACGACGTGTACAGGTTCGAACCAACAAAATCAACAAAGGGCGCCAGCAAAATGCGCCGTGATCTCATCAACGCCGAGATCTCCAACCTTCGGGATCTCCTGCCGCTCCCGCCGTCCACCAGGCAGAGGCTCTCTCAGCTCCAACTCATGGCTCTCGTCTGTGTTTACGTTAGGAAAATGAACTATTTCCAACAAGGTAAGTAAATCATACATTTAATGGAATTGAGGAAAGTTGTTTTAAAAAAAGTGATAATTTCTTAATTTCCATATTATAATACATAATAATAATATGTAAATCGAGAAATTATAAAAAAAAATAACTTATTTTTAAAGATTTTATTCTGCATACATCAAATGATTGCACAATTTTTGTAAAATATTTTATTTTTCTTCATTATTTAATAATTAACTCCCAATAGGAGGAGGCTAATGATCAGCAGTGCACAAATAATGGCTGATATGATGATGATGATGATTTAATAATTGTAAAAATATCAGTTAGGGCGCTGTACAGTTCCATAAATATTGTTACTATATTAAGGATCGAAATAATAGGAATTTGAACGAAATAGATTAAAAACTATCTATTTCTTTGAAATTATCATATGATATAATAATGAATTATTTTTATTTAAATAGATATAAGAACTAAAGAGTAAAACAAAATTTTACTTTATTTATTTATACAGGAAAACCAAGGCTACACTAATATAAATAGAAATAATCCAGAACTACAAAATTTAACTTTATGCATACGAGTATGTGTATATAATATATTTTATTATGTAGCGACTACATTCACTTCGTTTATATTCATAAACTTGGTTTTGATGATATTTTGAAGTTATCAGTTACACTCATTCACTCATTGCTAATTCAGTAAGGCTTTATGCCTAATGAGTGTAAACAAAACAGTACTTAGTAATGTAGTAAACATTTGTGAAAATTTTCCTTCAACGGTTTCCCATGGTCCCAATCTTTCTAAGCTCATCACGTGCCCCCTTATCCGTAATCTTGTCCTTTCGTCTCCCAACTTTTTGTCGACTCACCTTCAGTCACGAAATCATATTAAGACGTTTAAAATGCATTTAGTTCGCTATCTTATCTCTGTTTCACCCATAATTCCGTCTTTCTTTCTGTTTTAGTGTTCAAAAGTCACGAATTCAGTTATCAGTACCAAGAGCAAGCGACTCCCACACCTAATATTGGATTTTCTAAGGTATGTTTCACGTTTTATGTGTAGTCTAGTTGTAAAACTTATTATGAGCTAATGTTTACAATGTCCTTACAGGCCATGAACGGGTTTATGATGATGATGACACAGAATGGGAAACTATTGTACATATCGGAAAACGCGGCGGAATATTTAGGGCATTCTATGGTTTGTATTGAATTTTCTTATGTGTACAATAAATAAATGATGATTAAAATTATAAGTTTATGACAACAGAACAATTGTAAATTTTTTAAATAATACAAATTCAAATTTAATTTATTAATATATAAAAAAAATTCTTCTTACAGTTCGGTCCTATGAGATTGATTCCACATCTCTAGCTATCTGCATTAAGATTTTGACCTATTATAGTAAAACTTTAAATGTTAATAAAATATTTTTTTTTTTATAATATTATTTATGGTAATCGAATTAAAAAGTGTTACAGAAAATATTAAATGTTTTTAAGTTTTTGCCGGACTATTTCAACACGTTTTTATTATGAATTAAAATTTATTTTATGTAAAATTTTTGCTTTCTTTTTTCATGATTTTATGAATTACAATACTATTCATCTAATCAATAACAAATTAAGAGTTATATAATATTATAATTAATTTTCTTGCGCTTAGGCAAAACTTTTTTCGGAAATTAATTAAATAAATATTTTCAGGAGGATCTACTAATACATGGGGACAGTGTATATGACATAATAGACAGACAAGATCACCAGACGGTTCAGATGGAGCTGAATAGAGGCGATAACGCAGAGACTGAAATAGTACCAAAGAATAGACATTTTTTCTGTAGAATGAACGTTTCAAGGAACGCAAGGAGGCAAATGAGATTTGGGGACCAAAAAGTAAGCGTCTTCAATATTATATATAATATATTTTAATGTTGATTTATGGAGTTTTATGTACACATGTATAGACTGGTAATTACTTTCATACGATCCTATTATAACGTTTTTAAATATCAAACTAAAATAATATACCTAATTTGAATTGATTAATAAGTTAAGGAATCAAATATTATTGACACAAAATCCCGTAACAGTAATATCGTTATCTTGAACCTCAGAAAATTGACTCAAAAAATGAGACTTCATATGATTTTGCAATTACAGATCGTGTCATTCCGATAATCTCATTATAAAAAAGTCATTTTCTAATCCTAGGTAGTTCTTGTAAGAGGCCATTACGTATCATACCTGCCGCTGTGCAGCCGCAACGAACCAGTGTTCCTGGCGGTGTGCACGCCGCTCGCGATGCCCGAGACGCGCGAGTGCGTCGTGCACGGCGCCACCAACGTGTTCACCACCGTGCACGCGATGGACATGAAGATACTGCACATCGACGCCAAGTAAGTTACCCGCGCTGCGTGTTGCACTAGCCGTTACCTGCCTCGCCTGCCGCTGTGCAGCCGCAACGAGCCAGTGTTCCAGAAGGGAAGGCAAGAACATACGAAGCGCGGATCCACCATTACGGGCATGCCCACAACCCTAATAGACTTCTGACGACACACTTTCGCAATCTATTAAGAACGATACTTTTAATACTTTTGTAACTTTTGTTAGCGAACAATCAAACGTTTTACACATTTATTGATTTACTGTGTTTCATCCTACGGCATTACCCACATTGAACACTGTACAAAATTTCGCTTAGTGCATCAAATATTTTGTAAATATCTCCTTTGTATTATTGCATTTCATCGGTCATAAGCGAGTTCGTACTCCGACTCGCTCTTGGCCAATTTTCAGGTGATTGTAACCTTTTTTAAGGGCTGGATCCGCACCTAAGACCTACTGAAGTGAATTTATTAAAAATAAGCAATTTCTAGTTATAGTTACTTCGCTTATATATAGAAAGCGGAAAAGTTTGTTTGAACGTGCTAATCTCTGAAAATGCCAATAGGATTTAAAAAAAAAATCCTTTTGAATTTCTTAGCTTATTTCTTGTTGAAAAAATCGGCTATTGAACATCATGTCGAGTCCAAAGATACAATAAATATCGTAATTGATTTATTAAAGCACAAAAAGTATTTAATACTACATAGATTTTATATATAATCTAGGTACTCGATCAATAGTTGAATTAAATGTAATATATACACACACACAATGTCCAAATAACCAAATAATTAAGTTACCTAGATTTAAAGCAATCAATACATAAATCACGACTCAATTAAATTCATAATTTCTGTAACATGAACACTAGCGCGGTGAGAGTGTTCAATTTATTGTATAGCGGTCCCTAGTTAAATTTTAATTAAGTTTGTAAGTGATAGTAAAATGGATGAGATACGAGCTGATGATTCAATTATAATTTTAAAAGGTTTCCACTTAAATAAAGAAGCATCTTTTTATACGAAGCTTTCGGAGATTAATTGCAATGTAAGCAAGTAAAAACTGTTAAACTTGTATATGTAAGTACTAACTACATACATACATATCTGTCACGCCTGTCTCCCATTAGGGTAGGCAGAAACAATGGAACGCCAAATGCTTCGATTCAAACAAACCTCTTTCGCTTCTTCCACATTCATCAATCTTTTCATACAAGTACTAACTACTGACAGCTTAAATTATTTTACTTTGTAATTATTATTATTTCAGCCGTTAACTGTCCACTGCTGAACGTAATGCTTCCCCGTAAGGAGGGTTTACCATTAGTTGCCACGCTTGGCAGACGGGTCGAAAACCACAGTTAGGCTTTTAGAGATGTTTTAAGAGGGACGCTACTGCTCATCCCTCGATCGTCCTTAGTTGCCTCTTATGACATCCACGGTAAAAAAAGGAGTGACCCATTCTATGCTGAGGCACACACGGCAATTTACTTGTAAATACAGGGTGAATTCGAAATCAATCTATTAATGACTATAACCGTTCTCCCCAAGAACACTTCACCAACAGTTGGACTGTCTTTTTTTAATGTAAAATAATGGAATGATATACCCTATAATAATATATCGGTATACTCTGGCGGAGTAAGAGAAGAGGGATTGTTAGTAATGGGGGCGTTAATCCTCATTTCTAGTACATAATATACCTTGTTAGGTCGACCTCCACGCGGTCTCCCATGGAAACCATCGTGCTAAATTCAAGATGTATTCATCACGATGGGCTATTATTATTATTGAAAGACGGGCTTTTTCAAACAGAAAACCTGTGACCCATTATGACGGATTCTTCAAGGATAATATATAAAATAAGCACAAAAATTTCCAGGGAGACCACGTGAATGTCGATCGGACTCTAAAATTGAATTTTATATGTCGTATACAAGTAATATTGATAGCAATGGGATTGTTAATTGCCATTACAAATTGTTTATTGCATATTAGTGATATAAAAAATAGTCTAGTCCGTGCTAATATTATTAATGTAAAAGTGAGTTTGTTTGTTTGTTACCTCTTAGAGTCTTAACGGCTTAACCAATCACTATGAAATTTGGTACATAAGTGTTTTCCGGGATGAAGAACGACATACGCTACTACTACTACTCTTTTTCCGCTCGCTAAACACATTTCAGTCACACGAACAAAGTCGCAGGTAAAAGCTAGTAGGTAAATGCTTGTTTTTATTTGTTTCAGTGGTGAATGGTACTTAGGATGGAAAAAGCAGGAACTATCCGATGTGTCGTGGTACCAACTGCTACACTGGGAAAGTTTACGAGATGCACAGAGTAAACATAGACTGAGTAAGTATACATACATATGTATATGAGATAGAAACAAATTCGCTTACCAGGTGGAGCCTTTATACAAAAGTCGCTTGCATGGGTACCTCTGCTCCATTCTTGTTTTTGTTGGCTATTTCGGTTCGAAATGTGAGATATATCAATGAAATTACAGGATACAGAGGCACAATACCTTAGTTTTTAAGAATGGTAACGCATGTGGAATATCATGGGCGACACATGCTATGTCCATTGTACTGTTCATGTCTATAAGCGGTGTTTACTACTTTATATAAAGTGGGCCGTCAGCTTATTTGCCATTCTATGTTGCATAAATAAAGGTTCGTTCAATTTAGGGTCAACAATGCGCATGTAACACCCCTAATGTTTTTTTTTTATGCAACTTAGAACGGCAAACAAGCTGACGGTCCACCTGATGGAAAGTGGTAATTATCGCCTATAGACATGAGCATAACAGAGTATCAGTATACTCTGTGAAACAGTTTTCACCCATGATACCCCCCATGTGTTGCCATTCCTGAGGACTCAGGTGTTATTCCTCTGTACCCAGTAAATTCACGCCATATCCTACCCTTCAAACCGAAACACAGCCATGCAAACACAACTGCTTCACAGTTGAAACAAGAATGGGATAGAAGTACCCAAGCAATCGACTTTTGTACAAAGTCACCCTCTGGTATGTTGCAAGCGTCCATGAGCTACAGTAACTGTTTATCATCAGACGGGATTATGCTTGTTTGCCACCTTTGTAGTATAAGAAAAACTATAGCCAAACAATTTATATCTCTTTTTTCAATATCCGGCTGCAATGTTTTACATGTAATTAAGTAAACATTTTGATAACAAAAAAAGTAAATAAATGTTGTAAGGTAACAACTTAAGGAAACTGTAAGTGATATTTATTATTTATGTTGCTATTAAAACAATTTGCAAGGTTATGTTTAATGTTTTTATTTTTATAGATAATAAAATAAAATAAAAAAAATATAAAAAATTATATTACTTATTTCAGATCATAATCAATACATGTCAACAATTTTAAAAATATATATATATTACACTAATTGTTTTGTATTGTAAAATCTTCATTGCACATAATTTACAACGGATACATTAAGGGATTTAATTAATAAATGCTCTCTAGTATAAATAGCTCTCAATAGTTTCTTTATTTGAAATTGAATAGCGGATTGGATATTTTATTACTAACTAGCGGCCCGTCCCGGCATCGCACGGGTGGACCTTTTTTAACATTTCCCTTCACTGCTCTGCTCCTATTGATCGAAGCGTGATGAAAAGTATATTATAACCTGCCCAGGAGTATGAAGAATAATTGTACCAAGCTTCGTTAAAATCCGTCGAGTAGTTTTTGTTTCTATAACGAACATACAGACAGACAGACAAAAATTTAACTGATTGCATTCTTGGCATCAGTATCGATCACTAATCACCGCCTGATAGTTATTTTGGAAATATATTTCATGTACAGAATTGCCCTCTCTATAAATTTATTATAAGTATAGAAAATAGATATAGCGTGCTTCCCTTCTTCTCGCCTATAATTAATATTGATCATACTAAATATTGCATTTCATATACTTTTAATTACAAGAACTTGTAAAATTTTACAATTCTTTTTTTTTATTATATTTTTTAAACTTGAAAGAAAATCGAATTAGTAATGAGGAGATCCTGCTTAGGGTTAAGGAAAAAAGACAAATTATTAGAACTATTGAAGACAGGAGAAAAATGTTAGGATACTTGATACGATACGACGAACTTATGAACATTATAGTAGAAGGTAAGATAGAAGGAAGTAGAGGCAGAGGGAGACCGAGACGTAGTTACATCAGGCAGATTAAGGAAGGAGTTGTTGTCGTGTCGTATCAAGAGGTGAAGAGACTGGCTGAAAATGGTAGTGAGTGGCAAGAGCTCCACCGACAAGAGCGCAGCATTTAAATAGGATAGATAGATAGAAAGAAAATTAAAAACTCTTACTTTTTATAGCGGCACATTACTACTTTTTGCAGTGGTATCCCATTCATTCCTGCTTCGTACATCTGGGTTGGGGAATTAGCTCCCTTCTTCAGATTTCTCCTTACATTAAAATATGGGACGTTAAAAAAAACTTGTCTACAAACATTTAAAAGACCGGCAACGCACAAATCTCTTCTCGTACTGCAGGTGTTCATAGGCGACAGTAGCCGTTTTCGATCAGGTGATCCGTCCGTTCGTTTGCCTCCCTAACAATAAAAAAAATCTATAAGGCAGACCAATCAATATAGATTTTTTTTAATGGGTGAAAATGGAATGGTAACCCCGCCTGCGTAATTGGTGTACGCTGGCGGGGAATCAATATAGATTGTCTATATTGAAAAATAAAACACTATGTTATTTAAGATTTTAGTATTGATAATGAATTGGTAACCCCGTCTGTGCTATCGGTACACGTTGGCGTGGCACCAATAAGAGTGATAAGTGACGATGAAAGCAGCTATGTTAGCCCGTCGAATTCCACTAGAATTAACCACGATTCCAGGAAAAACCGCGTGGAAGATAACCAGATAGGATGGGTTGCTAGTAATGGGGAAATAAGACCCCACTACTGTCCCTTTCCCCCTACTTGTTTCATTGAAAATAATGTAACAAGTGCTTGTCTTTGTTACAGTAACACAGTCTGAACAGGACAAATGTTGTATCCTACTGGCGAAGTTACAGCAACGTTCTGGACAATTCCTGTGGGTCCATATCGTATTGCAAGTAAAGGACGCGGCGGACTCTCCAAGGCAGTTCATTGTAGCCACAAATCAGATATTAAGGTATATTTACACTATGTTTATATTAACAAGAAAACTATACAGCTATTTGTGTATTTGTTTTTTAACACGTTATGCGTATACTTATTAAGTTTCAATCAATTTTGAAACCAATGGAATTCAATATTTTTCCAAAGAATAATAAAATAATTTAAGCATGTTTTACAAAAAAAAAAACAACTTCAATTGTAGCAAAAAAAGCTTTTGATGAAAAACTAAATGAACCGATTTTTATCAATTTCTATAAGACCAATCTGAAAGTATGTCCTTTCAAACAAAAAAAGAGTTTTCCAAATCGGTTTATAAATGACTAAATCAAGAACCTCCTCCTTTAATTAAATCGATTAAAACTTACAAAAAATTTAAGAATCTTCTGTACTAACTTTAATTGGTAATTAATTAATTGTGACATAATATATCTAATAGAAACAAAGAAAAAAAAAATTAAAAAGATTATAACAATTTATTGAGAAAGAAAATTCGATTTCAAATAAAATAGAGGTTTCTAGAAATTCAATCTTTCGAAATTTTACTAAAATTATGTTCACTATATAAACTAACACAACCTCAAATATATTACATATTATTTTAGTTAGTTGTATGTTAGTTTAGTTAGTTTAAAATCATGTAGGTTACTTAGGACTTCCTCAAATCTATGGGGGACCGTATATTCAGCAATGGACATATAACGACTGATACCATGATCAAAGTTCAAACTACGTGGTAGACCGAATTTTATATTATTAATTCCATTTTATCTACAGTGAAGAAGAAGCTTCAATAATGATGGCCAACTCCTGGTTATACCAATACTACGGTTACCAAAATCAACCGTGCAACATGATAGACCCTAGATGCCAAAAGTTCTTCAGGAGAGAGCAATGCTATCAAGAGCCTTACCAGGAAACATATCAGTATATAGAAAACCAGGAGTTGGAGTATACGGGGTACCACGTGTCGTCGTATGTGCAAAATAAAGGTGTTGAGGAGTTCAGTGGTTGCGAACGGGTGTACCAGGATAGAGGCCCTGTTGACTATTCCACTCATTCTCCACAATCTACTATTAGTGAAGAAAGGTAAATTTATTTATTTATTTTATTTTTAGTCCAATAGTATTATAACAATTCTATATTTTAATAGAGGATTTGAGAACTAATCATTTGTCGTGATATGAGTATGTAATGCGCAGGAAAGAAGAGAATATGGTAAGAAAGGTATTATGTATGAATGTGGATGGTTATAAGTGAAGAGGAATACAAAAATAGATGGATGGATTGTATGAAGGATGACTTCATTTTGTGGATCATAATTGAATGGTAACCCCACCTATCTATCCCCAGCTATCGGTATACACCGGCGGGACACCTGTGAAGGATGATAGGTGAGGATGAAGCATGTCAGTTAGTCTATCATGACGAATTCAACAGGAATTGTTCACGATGGTTTCCAAGGGGAACCACGTGGAGATCGACCTAATAGGACATATTAGCAATGGGGCTGTCAAACTCCATTGCTAACAATCACTTTTCACCGGGCGACATGATTAGAAAGCCAGAATAGCGAGATGACTACAAATAGAGTTACAAAAGAAGAAAACATATTATGCCAACCCCAAATAGATAAGGAAAAATTTTAAAAAGTAACAGAACAGTTTTTTATTTTACTTTGGTTTTAAATTTCTTGTGCATTTATAAGTAAAACGTACAGCATTCAGTGTATTGCGTTTCAGCTTAACAGAATAACAAATATCTTTTAATTTAAGAACACCCGGATTAACTTACATGTATTTTAATCGCGATTGCGTGACTAGTTTCGTGCCATCCGGGACCCTTAGTCATGAGCGGCCGTAACGCGAGCTCGAGCTTGATATTAAAATATAGTATGTACTTAAAAAACATATAACAATAAATATTTTTACAAATTTGCACATTAAATATTCAAAAAATTTAGAACAATTTTGATATACATACAGACAAAAATAAAGGTGTTTTAATACTTTTATTTACTGCACAATTGTACAAGTCAAAAGCTGGCAGATAAAAACAAACATACACCAAGATCACTAAACATAATTTGTACGCGTCATGTCACAAGCGAGCAATATAAATAAGAAAATCATCACCCTGTCCGTCTGTCCGTCCATCCGCGTAATTTGACACCTCTCATTACCATATTTATTGTGAACGTTCCGCTACAAAAATATTAATGTAGTATATGAAAATATCGTGTCATTTATACCTTCGCATTAAAGTTCAGTTTTGAATGACCATATTTATAAACGATTGCAAACACAATGGGGTAGTTGTAAACCAAATACGAGGAGGTTTCAAAAGTGAAGCGTCTCTCTGTGATAGCTTTTTAATATGGCTTGTAATACTTTAACATAGTATAGTATAACTATTTACAATTTATCATCTGTACATATTAAAATTAAATTAATTTGTCCTACAAAAAATACTTCGTTCGGGACAAAATTATTAGGTACTAGCTTTTACCCGTGACTTCGTCTGGGATATGTTTGCTGGTCAAGATAAAATATACCAAATTGCATAGTGAACCTCCAACGCGGAAATGCCGCAAGTGTCATGGGGACCTTTGTGTCGGTTACGGATGATAAATATGACTGATCATTAATTTAATTTATTTTTTAGATTAAAAAATTAAAAATAATAATAATAACTTATGTAATAACTTTACTAATAAACAAATATTTTAAATATTATATTTCTTAACTTGTCCATAGATCTCCTCATCATTACGACGCTCCGTCAGAGATAGTGGTAAACAGTAATATGTATATGTACCCACATCATGGCAAGAGGGAATACTATGAGCAATATCCAAGAGTTACATATATGCAAGGACCATGTTCAAGTGGTTCATTAGATGGTAAGACAATATTTAATTATTCATTTTTCATTATTCTATAATTTACGTAATGTATTCAATATTTTTGTCTATCTTATCTTTCTAATATAACGAAATTTAAAATAGAGGATGATACTTGGGAGATATTTAAGAAAAAATAATATGAAAGGTCTTAATAGGACCAATAGATACTAAAACAATAATTTTTAGAAATTTTATCTCTCTCTGTTTGTATGTTTTTACGATATCACGCAAAAACTACCGCGTCAAAACGGATGCAATTTCCACAGCTGTGTTCCGGAAGGTCTTAAATTATACACATATAGTATATTAGTTTTATATAATAATTTTATACACAAATCATCAGCGTGTATTTTTATCCCATTTGTATTACTGCCGCCAAGTACGTAATGTTCATCACAGTTTGTGTTCATACGCAATGTTCATCACAGTTTGTGTTCATACGCAATGTTCATCACAGTTTGTGTTCATACGCAATGTTCATCACAGTATGTATTTATACGTAATGTTCAACACAGTATGTGTTCCTACACATGTTCATCATAATATATTTTATCATTTCCATGATGCTACGTATTTAGCTTTATGTTTAATGACGATAGTTACCGCTTTCTATCAATAACGTCAACAGTTGGTTTTCTATTGTGAAAAAATATTTCGACCCTGTCTAAACATATTTTCAGTTAAAGAAAAAAAAATCACTTGATTTTAATTTCACTCTTTACCTTGCGTAATTGCACCTTATTTAAGGGTCAATTAAAAACATTTATTCAGTAAGGGTACAATCACCTATGCATTCGGTAAGTCGTACCTTTTTTTACCCAAACGTAGAACGATTCACCTTTCCGTGTGTGGGGAACACCTATAATCTGTGTGTGTCTTAAAAAGATGCGTGAAAAAGCAGTTAGTAAGTGAACATATTGGGACCGATGGGAACATTAACTTAATTTATAGTTTGATTACAAACATTATTTCATGCATTGTACATCGTGTTTATTACTTAATTTTAAGCTATTTGGTAAAAAAAAGTTTAAAGAATTAGGCATGTTTAATATTTCTCAATTTTTTCTAAGCATAAACTAAGATATGAAGATGTTGCCTTCTAGTATTAGAAGTTTCAAGACCACTCTAGTTTTATATGAAGGTCTCTAACGTAATCTATTGTCATATGCAAATATTTTTTTCTAAGCATTAATTACTCCCTTTTTTATTTGCAGCTATAGAATATCCAAGTCCGAAACGCATGCGCTTAGTGCCTGCCACGTTAGCAGTTGAAGAGGATGGCATGGACCGCTGGAACCCAAGCCCACCCTGGTCGGACACCACCCTCAAACTACCAGAGTACACCCAGCGTTTCACATACAACCACATGATGGCAATACCGCCAAATGAAAGAGCTATGGTCACCTAACAAACACCATAAAATTGTACATATTTTACTAGAATCAGCTTCCACCAAAGTGCGCATGAACCACGCACACAAAAACTATACAGGGGTTCTCAATTCATTTCTCAGAGATTCCTAACATTGTGTGTCAATCTTTGTGCTGGATATGTCTAATAAGTTTGGTTAAAATCATTTTTAAAAACAAGTATTTATTTATTATCCTTAGGATTTATCATCAGACTGGGTCGTCACGTAGGGTTATAATTATGTCAAAGCAAATCAAATGAGCCCAAAAACGACGGATTTATCCGTCGGTCCGAGTTCCTATATCTACCGTCCTTCTTCATCATCAAACTATGACACACCATAATATATTGTCAGTGAACTTATGCTTGAGGATGTCGGAATTTGAGACGAGGATATCTAATATATAATATTGTGGTTCAATTCAATCAATCAATGAAAACTGCAGCGGTAGCAGCTCGGTGATTGGGACCATTCCATCTTCTCTGAGACCTTCTCATCCTTTAATGGTGGCTAAAGTCATTCAATCGTAAACTCATTCAATCGTAATGTCATTCAATCGTAATGTCATCCAATCGTTCTCGGTATCAGATACTTATTTTATTAATAATTTTTATAACTTATTAATAACAAATCTATTTGGCATATTATTAAAATGGCAAATTATTACATCATATTTATTGAGTAATTTTTATTTATATATCAATTTGCAATTATGTAGTGTATTGCCAAATGTCTAATCATAAATTAATGTATTAAATATCTCTTTTACCCTCCCGTTAAAGTTTCGCTGTCGATTATTTCTCAATACTTTGTTAAAACTACTTTTTTATTATATTGTTTAAATAAGTCAACACAAAAGTTTAATAATAATGTATAAATTAATAATCAGTATAAATTTATTCAATTCTAAAATAAATTCATATGTTTTAAAGTATTATTCAATGTTCTTTGAATCTCTTGCTTTATGAAATATAACATGCATAATAAAAAGTTGCTGAAATTAATTATTAAAAATGTATTAAAAATATTTATTTCGCCTCATAAAAGTTGATTGTAATAAATTTCAAACATTACCCCTAAATATCGTTTCTATTATCAAAATTCAAAATACTGTAAATAAAATCATTAACAATTTTAATGTTATATATTATATTTATAATTAAGGTTGTTCCTATAAAAAATTGAGCTCAATAATAGATGGAGTATATAACAGTATTTTTAGTCTAAGTGTCATGTCAGAATTTTTTTTTGTTATTTTTTCTTTTTAAATTAAGTTGTAGTGATTAAAAAAAGCAATGAACGATTCCGTCCAAATATTTTGTGCATTGCATTCCAAAGGAATAGATAAAACTTTTTTTTGTTGTATATAAATGTATTATTAAATTGTTAAGCGCTTGTAAATAAATCTATAGTATTTAAACATAAGTTATACTGGAAAATAAATTAAAATAAATAATAAAGAAATATGTTCCTCTTATTTATATCACCTAGCTGTCTTATCCAAGAAACAAAATAGATAATAGAATCCACGAACCAGTATGATAGTATTGTGTTTCTGTAATGACAAAAACAGTCAAATTAAAATCAATTCGAAATGTACAGAGTGAAATATCATTATTGAAATCGATCTTGATGCACCATAATCTATAAACTAATCAACCAACTTCAAAAAAGGAGGAGTTTCTTAATTGACTTGTATTTATTTTATGTTTGGTACCTCATAACCCTGTCATTTATAAACCAATTTGGAAAATTATTTTTTCTGAAAGTAGGTAGGTAGGTATATCCTTTCAGATAGGTCCAATAGAAATGTTATTAAAATCGGTTCAGTAGTTTAGATTTTAAATAAAAAAAAAAGAACTAGTTTTGTCAAGATTAAAGTCGGTGATTTTGTGGAACAAAAACTGTTACAGAAACGAAGAAAATAAAACTACATTATACAATCTTGTAGCTGAAATAGATCTCTACTAGACCATAAGGCCTCAAAAATAGCAACGTATTCACAGTATATTCTATTACAACTATGGTTAATACCTTTTGAAGACGGTTACTTTTGAAATTCTAAATTGTGTAAAATTCAAGGTCACGAAGTAATATAGAATTATTCGTTATTTTTTAAATAACCTTTGGATATATTGCACAGCGCCATCTAGCGCCAAGCTAAGCAAATCTTATATTACGGCTACTAGACAACTGATACACATGCTTTGATATAATAACAATAAAGCCTTTATTCGCTGACCACAATTAAAACTTACATACTATACTTATAAAACAAAGTGTCTACATTTTATTCGCAATTACATTAAAATAATATAGAAACTTATTACTAGTTAGGTTACTATCAACCATTGTGTTGATCAGGTTGTCTGTCAATATAGGCCTCCCCCATTTGCTTCCACTTCTCTTTATCCCTAATTGACTTTCTACATCCTTTAGATAAATCGTTCTCCCATTTTTTGACTTGCCATCCTCGTTACCTTTAAAAAAAGACAAGCTTTGATACTTTTTCCTAAATACATACATATTATACATAGACGGGCGATGGTCCCGGTATAGAATAGGCCACCCCTTCCTTTCTCGTGGGTGTCGTAAAAGGCGACTAATGAAGCAGCCGTATCCCTCTAAAATATCTCTAAAGCTTAACTGTGTTGCCAATCCGCCTGTCAATCGTGGCAACTATTGACAACCCCCCCACCCCCGAGGGGGAGGCTTATTTTCAGCAGTGGACAATCAACGGCTGAAATGATGCAACATAAACAACAAAGCACGCTTGGCAGAAAAGTTGGCAACCCCAGTCTGGCTTTTAGAGATGTTTTAAGAGGAACGTTGCTACCTATCCGTCTACCCTTCACTTCCTTTAGTCACCGCTAAGTTTAATTCCTCTTAGTTTACTTTAGTTCCTTCAGTGATTGCTTACCACAGTAAAAACCACCTTTTAACTATCATATATACATACAGTATTACTCACATTCGGTTAAATAAAGATTTCCCAAAATTAGTTAAATTGATGACAGTATTACCTACATAAAATATATAGGTACTGAATAAAAATACAACCAAGTTACCGAATCACATTTTATAAAATCCGTTGTAAAACAAATTTAATTGAAATAACAAGTTCATTGAACTCCCTTGATCTAATTGTACCAAATTACTAATTAATAATAATACCAGAGGGAGACTTTGTACAAAAGTCGTTTGCTTGGGTACCTCTGTTCCATTCGTGTTTCTACCGTGAAGCAGCTGTGTTTGCATGGCTGTGTTTCGGTTTGAAGGGTGGTATATGGCAGTGGTTTACAGAGTGCAGAGGAATAACACCTGAGTCCTCAGGAATGGCAACGCATTGGAGGTATCATGAGCGAAACAGTATACTCTGTTATGTCCATGGTACTGCTCATGTCTATCGCCGACGGTTACCACTTTCCATCAGGTGAAATGTCAGCTTGTTTACCATTTTAAGTTGCATAAAAAAAATAATTAAATATTTTGTTTAATTAATAATAATAATACCGCATAGTATCTTGTTGTCACTTCGCTATTAAGCTATCACCAGAACGCTATTGCATAAGTTACACGAAATATTTAAATGTCTAATGCGTGCCATTAACATTAAGTAACAAGAGTTCGAACTCTTAATAGATGTAATTCGCTTAGCAAACAACCAATCTAAGAAGACCTGTGAAGTTGCATATTAGTTCTGACTGATGTTAGAAGAATTAACACAATAAAGGAAGGATGTTAGGTCTTGTTAGACTGGTGGCGCTATGGCCGTCAATCAGGAAAAAGCTAAGCCCGATATGGCACAGTTCAAGTAATAAGCGACAGCGGAAATCAATGTAATCAATGTATCTATACTGCGTAATAAATATATTTGCAAGACTTTTTCAATTTATAAATTCACGGTTGACAAATTATTTATTCAAGACAAACTAATATAATACCAATATCATAATTGCATTTAAGAGTACGTTCTTACTAAACACTTGGTAAGTTTGTCGTCAAACGCACTTGAATTCTTACTTAATATTATTAATGTGAACGTGAGTTTGTTTGTTTGTTACCTTATAGCACCTTAACATCTTAATGAATCACTATGTAATTCAGTATACACGTAAAAGTACAGATTAGTTTCATCCCGGTCAGTAAATATATCCCGGTCATGCGGACAAACTCGCAGGTAAAAGTTAGTATTAAAACAAAAAGAGAAAATGTTTAAACCCATTGATTATAAAAGGATTACCAAATTGAACAGAAAAACATGGGCAAATTAGGAACCTCATATGTTTAGAAATCGCTTATGAACCACTTTTATTTGGGGATGGGTAATATATTAAAATATGTATATATTTTAACACATATATATTAAAAGTCTGTTATTCAAAAAATAATATTGGTTAACAGACCTTTAACATATTCAAAAATAGATATGCGACCGATATGGACAATATCAAAATGGGTGATGGCCTTTTTTCCGCCATCAATGTCCAGGGAAATCCAATATATAAATATTGAATCAGTATCCATATAACCCATGTCTAAATTTTACTCATATATCATTTACGCCCGCCTGTCTCTCATGCCTGAAACGTCAAAGCTCCTGCAAAACATTGATCCATTGTTATTGCAGGCTTGTCTGACGCCCTGCAACTATGATGAATTATTGATGTCCAGGTTATATATACGTGATGCTCAACCCCAGCCTGGATTACAGGTACCTACAGGTTTTCTAAGATCTTCAACACGAACACATCAAAAAAATTCCGATACTATGAAAAATTCGAGAAAAAATTTTCAATGCTTATTTTAAATAAATTTCAAAAAGGATTTTAAAACAATTTTATGCTGTAATCTTAAAGTGTAAATTAAGTATCAAGGTCTTACTAATATTGTTGTTCATTAATTAGAAATTATCTATATAATTATAAGTAGCTAAGTAATAATATTGATGTACAAGAATGAAGCATCTTAAAATTATAGCAATACATTTTACAATTTTCTTTATTTTGACGACAGTGTAGAGAGAGATATATTTAAATAACATCTAGAAACTAAATATGTCTAAGGACAAAATTCCGTTTTATTCTTATAAATTTTTTGAAACTTAAGAAATATACTTTAATTAATTTCAACAACTACAGGAAAGTTCACTTCAAGATTTACATTAGTTTTTAACAAACTTTCTCAAAAAACTATAGAATGGCCTCAAAAGTAACGAAGTTCTCGCGTGTTTTTATTTAAAAATTGTTATATGTATATATTATGTACATAATTTAACTACTTTTTAATATAATTTAATTAAATTTCTTAAAATATTTAATAAATAATTATTTACTAAGAGTAAAGGATGAACAATATCCATATCTACAATACAAATTTTTTTAATACTCTAATTTCTGTCGCTATTGTTGGGGAAATATTTCTAACTGTTATGTAATTGTTGTATTTATATTCTGTGATTTATTTTATTCTTTTGTAAATAAGACTCATTTAATTTTTATCCCTAATAATTGTTTGTATCTATAATAAGTTTACTATTGTAATCTTTTGGAGATAACAATAAATTGTATCTATCTATCTAATCACAAAGGTGTCGATCATTTATCTAGTCAGAATGCAGCGTTTGTAACATTTGCGTTCATCCATTGCGTTGTAATTATTTAAAATAATACTTGTATATATATATATATATATATATATATATATATATATATTAACTTAATATATATGTACGATTCTAAAATATCTATGTCGTATTATTCAATTCTATATGTATATGACAGTAAAAATCACTTGTTGGAAACACTGTCTGTGTTTCCAACAAGTGATTTTTATCACTACACTTTCCAAAAAGCTAACTCCAAATCGTATAGAAATCATTAACAATCGTATTTCAGTTTAAAAAATATTATGTCAATCATGACTAAATTAATATAGAACCAACAGGGGCGTAAACTATATAAAAAAAAAAATTCTTCATAAACAAAAATTTGTTAATCACAGTCTGCTGCGTTTAGCTTTCCATCAGGTGGTCCGTCAGCTTGTTTGCCATTCTAAGTTGTATAAAAAAAAGCTAAAAAAAAAAACATAATGCAAAATGAAAAACTTTCAAAATTCATAACAAACATAAAATTTTCTAACTAAAAATGATAACACAACCTAGTTAGTCTTCTAAATAAAATAAACAAAGCAGGTTCCCTATTGCATAACGCATGCCCTCACTTTAGAGGCAGTGCTGTTGTTCGCATTAGCAGGCTCGTTAGTGGAAAACAAATTAATAAATTATGCCCTTAGTAAAGTTTCCGATCACACACCTCGTGGGAATTGATAGTGTAATTTATTTATCCATATGGGAGCAAACCGTACGTAGAACGTGTCTCGTATGAACAATCCGTAAATATTGAGATGTTAATTATAAAAAATCACATTCACACCCACTCATATATACACACACACAC